AGTGGTTCTATGTCCCCTTAAGGAGTTATATCTATTTTTGAATTAACGTAAAAACCCCTCTATGAGTTTTAACTAAAAAAAAAATTATGAAACATCTTATATAGAGAATATAATATTCTCATCCTAGAGGGAATTACGTTCCATCTATAAATATTAAGATTTTTTATTTAACATCTTTTTATGTTTCACTACATAAAAAATATACTAATATATAAAAAAATATGATTTTATATGCTCCATAAAACTCAAGCCTAAGACAAGAATGACTGGAGGCCAACTTAACTGTAGAATGATTTATCTATCACAACTTCCAAAAGTTGACCCTCCACCTAACGGTCCTATCCCACCAATTATTTAAAATTCTATATAAACCAGCCCATCCATTCCTTTCTCTCCCGCCTCAGTGCTCTCAAGCCATGAAAATCCGCTCTCAATCGGCTTCGTGGCAACCGACGGCAAGTATTTCTCCAAGGTCGTGGGGGCGGGGGGGTTGTTCGTGATACCGATGGGTTTGGTTCATTTCGAGTATAATGTGGGACAGGGGATAGCGACGGCCACCGTGGCGTTTAATAGTCAGCTCCCGGGAATAGTGATTCCGGCGGCGGAGCTTTTTGGGTCGAAGCCGGCGGTGCCGGATGCGGTGTTGCGTGAGGCGTTTGGAGTGGGGGAGGAGGTTGTGCAGGAGATCAGGGCTAAGTTTGGATGAGAAGGTCATAAAATTTGTCAAGATTTACAAAGAGGTTGTAGGTTCTAGTCTCTCATATGTGATTTCACTGATTTGTGTGTTTGATATATGAATGAAATATAAAGATTAAAGGTAATATTTTCAATCTTGAATAGTTTTTTAATTATTGATATGCCACTAAAAAATAATCTTGGCCGGGCATGAATTTTGATGCTATATATGAATAGAAAACTTTTAAAAATAGATTTGAGATAATCATCCGAGCTTTGATTTCAACAAACTTATAGTCAAATTGAACATCTCTGAGAAGCAAACGCAATGACACTAACTTCAGTCCAATCCATGATGAACCCAAATCAAATGATCAAAACATGCTTGAAAGCTTTAAAACATCAATTGGATGACCAAATGATATCAGAATATGACATGTTTATAGTCGAATAGAGCATATCAACAAGACAAATCCAATGAGCACAAGATCGCTTTATTCTGATATCATTAGGACATATAAATGTTCAAATGACACTCTATGATTGAGGGATTTGATATCAGTCGTATAATGGAACAATCCAAATTTTTCATATATCTTCTCCATATGTATAAGATATGTCACTCCAAAAAAAATATAAAAAGACCCCTATTCTTCACAAGAAAGCCAACGTATACGAAGGCTACCTTGATATGATTTACGCCATGTTGTACATATGCAATGCTTTCCTCGAGCATATTGATTCTTATTTACTGGAGAATCATATCACTTTATGTGATACAATCTATGATAAACTTCATAAGTTTTGTATAAATCTATCCCTTACATTACTAATTTACATATCTGTGATGTCTTCCCTCATTATATTTATGCGATGACTATATTTATGACTGCAATTGTCCCTATATGTATGTAAGCACCTCACATATAATATAGTTAGCATTACATCAAGTCCTACACTGCAAGCTCACATATGCTCTAATGATCACCTTCAATACTTCCATCAAATCCTTCCTTTTGTTAGTAGTCACCTCCTTCAAAGCCAACACCATAAGCTTGATCTCAAGACACAACCAACTCCTATGAAACATACATCATCTCTTCTATTCTATAATAATGTCCTCCAAGACTTAAAAAGGCAACCTTGCTTGCATCATAATTGTCATCTCCTTTAAGTTACATATCATGACCCCACTTGCCCTATGGTCATCTTCTTCATGACTTTGTTGAGATTATATATCTTAAGTGCACCATAACTTTATTATTTAAGAGCCTCACCATAATCTTATTTTCGTTATATCATTTAATATCCTCACTATAACATCACTTAAAACACCGCCGCCACTTCAAAAAACTAATAAAACAATCTCACTTGCATTGAGAAAACAAAAAAAAGATAAATGAATTATAAGATTCGAGAAATTTGGGAAGTTGACCTATATTGATCTCCATAATGCTTTCAATCTCCAAAGTCTAGCCTCCAATATCATCCGTTTGGTTGGGGTCCTGTGTTTGATGGCTTCTGTTTGTTGGTGGTTGGAGTCTTTTGGGCTAGTTGTTAGTGATGGTTATTAGTGGGTTTGATTTTTTATCTTTTTGGTGTGTTGCCCTATTGTGGTGGGCTCAGCTGTTTAGTTGGAGATTCCCTGACTGGTTGTTGTGGGTTTTGGTCATCTGACTGGTCTGCTCTTGTTTTGTTATTGTGTTTGTTTCTTTATTGAGGATGTGATTATTTGATTTTATTTGAAGTTTTATTTTTTTTTCTTGCAAGTTTTAGACCATGGTTTGGGTCTTTGAATTTTGGTCTGCTAGGTTGGTTCAGGTGGTTCGCTTCTGCTACAAGCTTATGCTACAAGTGCTATGCTTTTTGGTTGTTCAGGGCTCTGGCTCCTTTTTTGATGGTGGCTCATTGCTGCCCCGTGGTTTTTTCTTTCTATTTTATTTTTATAATTCAGTAGGGATCGTAACCTCTTAGGTTTATTTTTTGTTTTAGATGTATCTCTTTGAGCATTAGTTGTTCTATGTACCCTTAAGGAGTTATATCTATTTTTGAATTAACGCAAAAACCCCTCTATGAGTTTTAACTAAAAAAAAAAATTATGAAACATTTTATATAGAGAATATAATATTCTCATCCTAGAGGGAATTACATTCCATCTATAAATATTAAGATTTTTTATTTAACATCTTTTTATATTTCACTACATAAAAAAATATACTAATATATATAAAAATATGATTTTATATGCTCCATAAATTTCAAGCCTAAGACAAGAATGACTGGAGGCCAACTTAACTGATTTATCTATCACAACTTCCAAAAATTGACCTTCCACCTAACGGTCCTATCCCACCAATTATTTAAAATTCTATATAAACCAGCCCATCCATTCCTTTCTCTCCC